TGCAAAATATTTAAAGCAATTTTGAAACTTTTTCTGATAAAGTGATGTAAGAGAAAAAGAACTCCAGTTTCAGCAAAAAGCTTTGAAACTCTTCACTTTTATCAGCAATCTGAATCCACTTCATACTTCTGACCATAAATCCTTAGTGTCTTTATGTAACGTGCTGAAGATTTGAGCTCAGTTTCCAAAAGATGGGTATAAACATAATCTGTGGGCATTTTTGGTGGTAGATGCCAAATACGATTTGGGTTTTGGAAATTACAGTTGCTCCTCCCATCACTGTTTCCTTCAAGCCAAATTGGAAGCAGGTTGCCGAGATACTTCTGCCATTGCTGTGTCTGGTCCACACATACATGAAGGGCTATTACATCTCATCATAGCGTAACAGTTAAGAACATGTTTGGTTTAAAGATAAAAGCTATATGTGCCCATAGGGTTTGAAAGATATTGTTGGAAATTTATGGAGTCCACAGAAGCCATCTTGTGAAGCTTATGAAACCCTTGATTAGCAAGTGGTTGGAGCTGGGATGTATTACTGGGATGTATCATATAAGCTTCACCCGACATGCTTGACTCCAGGTATCCTGTTTTGGCCATGCTCAAAGACGGGACACTGACTAGGTAGACTTTCAGTTTGACCCGATATGGATGATTTTTAGTTTTCGTATTCTTATATACATTCAAGAACTAGACACAATGCTGAAACATGAAAGAAACTATAAAGGCTACCTCAAGGAGTCAAGTAAGTGTTACTAGAACACTTGCCAGTTGCCAATACGCCTGAGAAACAAAGACCTTCATTTGGACAAAATACAGGTCTGACATAAATACTCCATGTAAAATATACCATGAATCAGTACTCACGGACAATTAATAAAAGATGCAAGATTTCTTTCCTAGAAATGGAAAGTAATCTGAAAATAAATATCCACATGCATGAGAAATTTTGCAAATCTGGTAAGCATATATTGCATGGCAGAAAGACAAAGACTGTCTGCAAAGTAAACCTATTAATCTTTCTTCTAATTTAACAGCTAGCCTAAGGAATCAGTGCAGAATCAGATATAAATTTAGTGGTGATATGGATTGTGTGAGTAAAACATGTTCACGAGTGTCACCTTGGAAATACACTTATATGAATTAAAATTTAATATATTATGGAGAACAAAGTAATTTGTGCTTTTACAGCCTGATCCAACTACTTATGAAGACAAAAGAAATATTTCCATTCACTTGTGTGAGTGCTGGACCAGATCGATACCAAGAAAATAACAATCCATATGCTTCTGATTCCAGTGGTCTCTTGGTGATGAAGAATAGCCGCCTCTTTGACTAAGGAGGTACTATGACTCTCGAAAGAGAGTAATCCCTGATTTACACCATTCTGGGAGGAGAGCCTGGCCCGTCGTTGAGTGCATGCCTTCTTAACCCCTTAACATGTGGTGGTAAGTAAATCCTGCAGAAAAGCTGCTGAACTTGCACATGCAGTCACTTCTAAAGCAAACTCCATGGCTGCCAAAAAGTGTATGAGAAGTCAGAAATAACTTACAATATGGCAGGTGTTACAGTGCAATAAGGGCATGTCTTAGGTACGTTATAAAACACAGACTGAAGTGGTTCCAGGATCTGAGAGTTATTACAAGACAGACTGTGAGGTTGCTATTCAGATTAAATTCCTCCTACCATGTCTCCAAACCAGGCTTTTTTCCCCTTATTTGCTCCATTCACCACATTTAGATGCCACCATCTTGGATTTCCTTCTCTGAAAAGGAAATCCCCACTTCTCAGCATGAAACTTGAAAAGCTTTCGATCTTAAAAGGAGCTGCTGAGCCTACGTCCTACACCCAGGTAACCTAAGCCATGTGGAAATACGAACTGTTCGCAACCTTCAAGTCTCCAAAGCGGGCCAAGCGCAGGACCTACACCAGCACCATTAGTACCACAAGCAGCAGATGGCAGAGGTTAATGGGCAAGTCAAGGAGTGGGGAGAGTTGCACCTACAAATATGTGTGCATTAAAGTGACAGTCTTGGAAAAGAGATGTTTGCACTAGTTCTGTGCATGCCCGTACATCCCTATGACAATGTCGACCCAGGAGGAGAAGGTGACTTTTGCCCTGAGAGTAGGATGCTGCCTCCCAACTAATGAGACCTGCCTTGGGTGGGATGCTGCCTCCTGACTAACAAGTCTGGTCTCCCAGCCCACCGCAGGATTGCTCCCACAGAGCAACACAGCCCCCCACGAGGCTGGCATGCCCTCAGTGCCTCTGGAAAGCACATCTTCAGGTAGGGCATTTGCTCTGCGACCACAAAGAGCCAGCCTTCAGGGGAACTCCTGAGTCAAATCAGTGGGACTTCACAGCTCTAAGAATCTGAGGTTTTGGCCCTTTTGAAAAATCTCGCACTAGATCTTACAAAACTGGCAGTATCCACAAGAGTAGAAATTAGGACTTCAAAAAGAATTACTCCGGGAAGTAAAACCCAGTCTTTCATTAAGCCAGGGCTTCATCTTGCAATGGTAAAAACCAAAAACCAGGACCACGTTGCCTCATCTCTAATGTGAGACAAGAAAGTCTTTGGATACAGCTGCAGTCAGGGTTTTGCTTCACAGGAGTAAATCCGAGATGGTGGCTGTGAAGTGACAAATTCCTGCTCGTGCTGTTTTATTTCTGCTGGATGTAATGAGGTTGTTTAACTATCCTGGCCTTCGCATAAGTCCGGCACACACACGGCTTCAGGTTTTCCGGATCAGTAGCACAGATATCGTGAGAAACACTTTTCATTTCAGTTTCCCTAGAAGGGTACTAAGAATATGGAGTGATAAGGCAAAATTTGCCTTCTCAAACACAGAATTAGTCTCCCATTTATATAAAAACCTGGGTTTTTTTCCTGATAGGAAACCTGTATACCTTCAGATCTGCAGTTCTGTTAGTTTTTTAGTTCTCAAGGAAGCAGAACTGCCTCCTCTCCCAGCCTCCCAAATGAGTGCAAGGAGGTAAAAATAGGTGACGGTTTAGCCTAGGGTTTTTGGGGGGAGGAGGAATGTTAGTTTTTTGAAGCCATTAAGGGGATCATTCCTTCGAGGGTACTAACCTTGTAGTTTCCTACAAGGGTTCCTCCTTGCAGGAGATTATTCCTTACTGACATCTCTCTTCTATCAGAGATCTGCTTTATTAGGTCTCTTCTGACACGTTTTTCACACTGCAATGCAGCACATCGCACAGCAGCTGTGTCACAGAGCAGAGACGTTACTAGTGCAGGCGAATGACTCCCTTCTCGCCCAGGATTTCAGCTTCATTTGGCTTGTGATCACCAGTTGTGGACTCCCTAACCCAGAGGTGGACTCTCTTTTGCTCCTTTGCCCTGCCTCCTTTTTTTCAGTCCTCCCTTGTGCCAAAAAAATTACTTTGAAAGGTATTTGGAAGCTTTTTAACTTCAACATTTTTCAAGGTGTCAGGCTGGGACTTTCCCCAAAAATAGCAATAGTTAACTTAGATAGCTATCATGTTTTAAATGTTTGTTATATTTTTAAAGAGTTTTTTTCCTTTCTTCTGAAATGTGCCAGAAATACGGGGTTCTTGTTCCATACAGTGGTTCCCCTCACTTTTATTTTTCTTGTTTTTAGTGGGAAGGTCAATGAACAGTGGTTTAGGAAGACAGGCAGAGCAAATAGAAAGCACAAATCAAGGAGAATTTCCTTGTTCTTCCCTCAGAAAACCATGTCTGCTTTGTTTCTGGCTTTCTGTAAGGAACAGAAAAAACCCCCTTAAGTCAGCAAACAAAGTCCCATTCCAGCTGGGCAACTGATACGTCAAAGCATGACAAGTGAGTATGTTATGAAGAGAAAACCTGCTCAGCTTTATCTTTTACTTAGACACTAAAAGGCAAGGGGTTGCCCTGTGCCTGCCAGCAGCTGCACACGGGTGGCGATGCATTGAACTTGTCCGAAAGAGTCTGAACTGTAAAGTGTACAGTTTTGGGTTTTAAACACTTTTTAAAAGTTCCTTCTCATTTTCACTCATCCTGGCAAATTTTTGCCCTTTGTGAGCTTCACAAGTCAAATCAGGCAAGCAGGACACCGCTTATTGTTCAACTCCAAGTGACAAAGGGTGGAGAAAGGATTCGTCGTCGAATCACTTTGGTTCCCTAAGATTTCGCTGTAGTCAGTGGGGACAGATGGCAACTCCTGCCTCAAATTGCAGGTGTGTGAAAACACTCTCTAGAAAGGCTCTTTTCTCTCTGTGACTTTGGAAAGAACCCAGGTAATGAAGATAGATATATAGAGACAACAGCTGTAGGAAAAAAAACCAAACTATTTTCTTTTCTTCTTTTTATCAGTCATTGCTGTAAGGAGGAAAATACTCACACATACACAGACACACACACACTATCCCCACTGCTACATTTTACAGAACAGAAATCAAGCCCCAGGAAACGCAAGATACCTCTACAGGACCCGGAGTCGGGCCAAGACCCTGGGACTTCAAGTGCTACAAGTGCGTATGTATTTATATGCTTTACACAGCAAATGTATAAAGGCTTGCACAGCCCCAGGTACATAACTCAGCTTTGTATTCAAGCTGCCATGGTGTGTTTAGAATAAACCTGTGCCCTTGCGCACCAGCAATACGCATGGCAGGAGAACTGTGGCTCCGTCTCGCTTGGCGCAGCTTGCGCCGAGCATGTGTTTGGGAGGAGGAGAGCCGTATATTCCAGGCTAATGCTGGGATTATGTGTCATCTGACTCGGCAGCTCTGAGGCATTAACTGACATTGCGTATCAGGTTAGTTTAATAACCTACCACTTGGCTCTGCCTGAGCAGATCTGTGTGCTCGGGGTAGAGATCAGTGACAAACACGGAGGCTGGAAGGGGATGGATTAGTTGCTGTGTGATCAGCAGGGTGGCACTTGCACCACAAGATGTACAGACTTAATGCTTGGATCTGCTGTGAATCAGAAGCTACATCTGGAAAGTAGCAATACAAATCTGACTCTCCGGGGATGCCCACAGCACTGAAAGCAGGCTTGGATGACAAAATGACAGATACCGACAACTTGGACGGGTTATTAGCAGAATGGGAGAAAACCATAAAGGATACAAAAATACCTGCTTGTTTTAAAAAGATGCCCCAAGAGACTGGGAAGACTTTCCCTCACTCCAGACAAGTTGGGAATTACCTAATAGGCAAAATGATCAACAAGGGCTCCTTTGCCAAGGTGATGGAGGGGCTGCACATCCCCACAGGGGAGAAGGTAAGCTCCTAATGAGAGGGTACCATGTGCCAGGAGTCGCAAGTAACCTCACACTAACTTATGTCAGAAAATTTCAGACCATTTAATCTGCAAACCACAATCTAGTCCGTGAATTATCCTCTGAACCTTATCCTCATAAATTAACCTCATAAATTGAGTTTATTGCTCATGTATAATCAGCCACATGTGTGAAAATGTACTGAGTGCAACTGTTTTCACAATTATAAAACAATATAGACAACAAAGATATCATCCCACTGAAAGAGAATAGGTTGATGGCATAAGGACAATTTCAAATCTGCTTTCCCTGATAATCCTGATTGAGTAATTAGTGTCGCGTATCTGACCTTTGAAGCTATGGACAACACTTACTGGAAAGCCAGGCACTCCAACAGCAGTCATTTATCTAGCAGGACACAGATAACACCTGCTATCTCCAGCTCAGTTGGGCTAAAATAACATACTACTAGACGTAACTGTGGTAAGGTGGATTACTGTCAAGTGGTTTTTTGATTTTTACTTTTCTTGTGGCTGCAGTATCTTCAATGGTTGACTAGCTCCCCAAACTGCAGAGAGCCGAATCCCAGCTCATTATAGCCAGTATCTTGACTGGCTTTTAGACCAAGTCAGAAGGGAACACGTTAGAAAAAAGATGTGGTACAGTACAGATGCAGCTACCAGTCAAGCACATAGGGATTTTTTGCATTTGAGAACATGTCATATATGCATATTTATTAATGTAATCAGAGGGATAGATACGACAGAGTTCAACCTTTCTGTTTCAGCCTTCAAGAGAAATAAAAAGTGTATTCTTCCATCGGGAATGTCTCCCTCGGTGATACGGATTATCAGTACCATGTCTAAAACATCTTCTCCCACATGTCAGCTTACTCTCCACCCTTTTAAAAATGAATCTGGGTTGCAAAGCTTGTTGCCAATTTGCATATATCCTGCAATTTAGGTAGCCATAAAAGTCATTGACAAGAGGAGAGCCAAGCAGGATTCCTACGTCTTAAAAAACATGAAGCGTGAGCCACGGATACACCAGATGATTAAGCACCCCAATGTTGTTCAGCTATATGAGACCCTGGAGTCTGACAGCTCCTATTACATGGTGATGGAGCTGTGCCTTGGCGGGGACCTCCTGGACAGAATTTGTGACAAAAAGAGGCTGGCAGAAGGGGAAGTAAGAAGATACACCAGGCAAATTCTGTCTGCAGTAGAGCACCTGCATTGCCAGGGGATTGTTCACAGGTAAGATGTTTCACCCCTTCCAAACAACAGTAAGAAAAGAAAGTGTGCAAGAAGGTAGAGTGTTCTTCTTCACTGAGAGCATTTATTTAATTTTCCTTCATAAAAACAGGGCTTGCAAAGAAAACTATGTTCTCTCAGCTCATCTTAATAAAGCATTTTATTCTCAGTAGTGGCAGAAGATAAGCTGTTACACACTCCTTGGGGAGTAAAGTAACAAAGTCCAGGGATAAGAGCTGATGAGCACAACAAATTAATACTTTGCCACGATTATCTCAGAATTATCTGGTGACAAATGTGTATCTAATTCAAATATTTCACTGTGGCTATGCACATAAATATTGATTTCATTTGGTTAGCCACAACATATTGAAATAACCACACATCACTCAGGACAGAAGACTGAGGAATCACAGCTCACTGCTTGTGCAGAGGACATGGTCCTGCGGGTCCAGGTCTGTGGCAGTCGCTGACCTTCCACGCTGGCTTTTACATCACAGGGACAGATCATCACTTCAGCCACTGCTAGAGGAACCTGAGCAGCCCATGCAAGGAGAGCTGATCTTCTTGCCCCCACCGGGGATCTTGGTGCATATGCCAAGAGCAGCAGAATAAGGACTTCCATTTTAGGTAGGAGAACAGGCAAAAAGCAGTTTTTCCCACCGTTTTTCTGATTTACTTAATAATTCACGGTCAATCAGATCCTTAATTTTAAATAGTAAATGCACTCATCAAGAAAGCCCCCAGGACCTAACAAGTAATCCAGTTGACTGTATTGTTACAGCAACCATGAAACAAATAAGCTGTGAATGTGATGGCTCAGCATTTACAAGTGCTTTGTAATGTGAAACGCTTGCAAGCAAGCACTTAATTATATTGGGTTTGTCAATTAATAAGGAATGGACAAGAAAGAAATAGTCAGTATCTGACCTAGAGATTTTAAACAAAAAAAACCCCAACCCACCAGAAAATAAACCCAAGGGGCTTCACCCACTTAGTTCAGGCTGACATCCTTGCCTTGCCAGTTCCCTAACTAATCTATTTTACAGCATTTCTTCAGTGTCCATGATCATAACATTTATGTTCTTCCCATGACGACATTCCTCATGAATTTCCCCAGCCCTCTTCCCTTCTTTTTGTTTGGAAACAACTCTTCCTGGTGAGCAGGGGAGTAGCACGACCTCTTCCCCTCCATTTCTCTTCTCCTGTTTGTAACGTTTTTCTGGGAAAGCTTTGCGAGAGAGAAGAATTTTGCTGCACACTCCGAGAGCAGCCAGGTACAAAGTGGTGTGAGACCTGCTTTACTACCAAATCCCTCTAACCCAAGGAAATTTCATCCTTGACTCTCAAGTGCCTTGTCGTAGGGTTTATGAAGTTGCATGGTCCATCAGGAGCCCAGCTGCCCTGCTAGGTCGCAGGTGTATGTTTGGTCAGCAGTACCTCAACTTGTGACCTGCTGGTAGCTTTGAGATTCAGAGCTGTTGCCTTGACCTCATACCAGACGCAGACTGGGAAGGATCTAGAAGGGCTTCCCTGCTCAGCTCCAGCTGCAGTGATTTATAGCAGCTCACTGCGGAAGTTAAACCGACGAGCATAATTGTGGGTGTATCCTAGTCTGAAAAAAAGGCATCAATGTTTCCATAAAGATGAGCACAGGAATAGGAAAGTTACCTCACAAAGTCAGTCTGATTTTCTCATCTAAGCACTGAGCAGAGCTCAACTCTTCGCATTGCTTTAGCACAGGAAAGGAGGGTTCCCAAGCTGCCTGGTGGGAACAGCTGCTGCTCCACGGGGAGGGTGCTAGTAAAATCACACCCGGTATCATGGTTCATGAGATGGATAATTGTGTGCCAGAGCTTAGGTCTATGCCCGGGGCCCCTTTATTTTAGTGTAATAGAGGTGCCTGGTGGTTGCAAGGTCTCATTCCTAAGTGATGAGCTTAGGAATTTGCTAATTTAATTTACTTTTACTCAGAAGTGTCTTATGGGCATTCC